TACTCCGATAAGCGTAGTTTCGGTTGTGTCCGATACGTTAAATAACGTCAAATCTGTCTTTTGGTTCTTGACGCAAACTTCATTTCCACACATGTTCCTAGCTTGATTTTGTACTTGTATGACTTTGAACCTATGAAATGACTATTGAAATGGAGATTTTAAAGTTTTATGGGTGAGTATAAATTTTACAAATATTTTACTTATGCCTTTTGGTTTAAATGTACTCTTTTCGCTACCAAAATCATATTTATACTTTGTATAAGTAAATATTCAGATTTTCTTTGGTTCAACTAAACTTTGAGGGTTTAAGTGTAATATTTTCTCTTGGTTATTATTAAGGTTTGTTTAGCTTCCTTTTCATATGATATTACCCAAGACACTTGTTATACGTTATTTCTTTGCATATGAGTTCGTTTCGGACCAACCGAAGGGCTTTACGAAAATTTGAACAACTGTCTTTTCATATCCGGCCATATTTTGATGTGGCACTATTAATTTATTTTCAATGGAATTGTCTAAAAACCTTTTGGTATGATTTTGTGTTTGACTTGGAAAAACTCTTAGTTACTAATGTTCTCTAATTTAAATATACACTTTTCACCTTAAAACTCATATTTATGTATTGCACTAGTATGTATTTGGATTCTCTTTGAATGACTTAGATTTTTATGGTAGAAGCATAATGTGTTCTTTTGATTACTATTAGGGTTCCTTGGTAATTGAGGGTAATACCCGGAAGAACACTTTGGACGTTATTTTGCGTAAATAGGTGAGTGCTCCTTGTTTGTTATATTCTCTTTGATTTCATGACTTGTTGTTGTTGTTTGATAATGTGTTAAGTGCTGTCAATGATTTCCGAAACGAATTTTCTAGTCGAGTGTATACTTTATCGCACTCGACCTAAATGAATGTGAAATTTTCAATGATTGAACGATTAGTTGTGCATGAATGTAAGTCTTTTGGCTGAATTGGACCCTGCCCTTCGTTACCGATCGACTCGAGTCAGAAGCGGACTCGGTCGGGCCGGTCGGGCGATATGGTGACCCTGGATGAATATTTGGTATACTCGAGTATTACCTTGTTGTCGAGTAGAGCCTGACCAACGTCCAGGAGGGGGTGAATGAAATGAATGAACGAACGAGAATTTTACTTACAAAAATATATTTTCAAATGATTGGAGGAATAAGGGGAATGACAGGAGAACGAACGAACGAACGAACGAACGAATAAATGGCTCCCTGTGAGCACGTATCCTTTTAATGAATGTGTTATTATCGCTTTCCATTGTACATGTTTCTTGAATTATTAATACTCTATGTTTAATGTATTGAATTGATTGTTTGATTATGTGTTCGGAACCTCACTGAGCTTTTAGCTCATCCCTTTAGTTTTGTTTTCCTTAACAGGGGGCGCGAGCAAGGACGAGAGCTCCGTATAAACTAGCCTAGACTAGTTTCTTGAATTTTTGTAATGGTTCTCGTCCTAGCGCTTGGCACGGGTTGGATGTATGAAGAATTGAGAACCTTTGTATATTTGAGTCTGTACTCCTTTTGAGATAGAAATGTACTTAAGTTTGTTTTAAGTTTTGGATTGTTATTATGTTTCTTTCTTGTGGTTTTATTTCGGATGTGATTGAGGTATGACTGAGTCCCGGCGAGAGTTGGGCAGGCGGTCCGCCGAACCCTTTGGTTCGCCTTATGATGAGGTGGGGCTGTCACATAATATCCCATTTTCCTAATTCCATTGTCTTTAGATCAAACTGGAATTGATAGTCTTGTATCAACCAGGTCACTTTGAGATAGATTGCCCCACTAATTATGTTAGTCCCATATGCTAGGATCACAATGAAAGGATTAACTATATGATGTGGCAGGTGCAATAAGTTGACAACCTTATGATAAATGAAACTATCAGAACTCCCTGTATTTACCAGAATCTTGATTGGTAATCCCCCCAAATTACCCATCAGCATAATTGATTTTCTCTTTATGGCTTCAGATAAGGCACTTAAGGATACATCAGCAAGTTTCCCAACTCTACCTGTGTGCTCATCTTGCTCACCTTCTGTATTTTCAAAGTCAGTTTCTTCTTCTACATCAGTGCCTATACAGTTCAAACTCCCTGATTTACACTAATGGCCGACTCCAAACCTCTTTCCACATCTGTAACAAAGTTATGCTTGCGCCTATACTGCATTTTCTCAGCTGAAATCTTACTGAATTCTCTATGTGTAGAATCAATCTTCTTGAAAACTAGAGCAATTGCAGGAAGTTTGTATGAGTTATAGTGATTCTGTCCACTCACAAAGTTCCTATACATCCCAAATTTTAGGTCTACTGCAATCTTTTCAGAAGACTTAGATTGTTTCGATTGGATTTTCAAGAATCACTCTTGCAGTTTAGCAACTTCAAAGGCTTTTGTCAATGTATGCGGTTTGAACATCTTTACCATTGGTTTGATTTCATTCTTCAGGCCACTGACAAAACTGGAAACAAAGTAGGATTTATCTAACTTTGGATTCCTGGTTAGCATTAGGGTCTTCAAGTCTTCAAATTTCTCCTCATATTCCTCTACTGTACCCTTTTGTTGCAATTTATTGAATTTCTCTACTATGTCAAGGGAACCTTTTCCAGAAAACCTTTCACACAACAACTCACTAAATTTCCCCCAAGACAGGCCAGGTCTTGCTAACTTCATCCCTTGGAACAATTTTCAACCTTCTCTTCTAAGAACATTTCAGCCATATCTAACTTTTGGTTCTTTGGTATTTGATATATAATTTAGGAAATATTTCTGGCACTTTCTCAACCACTCCCTAGGGTTGCCTGAAAAAAACATTAGGTATGTGGTTTACCTTTAGGTTCATGTTGGAATCCTGGCATACCCGCTGGAGTCGTCAACCTCAGATGTGCCAGTGGAGTTAGTAGAATTGGTTCTGATGCTTCTACATCGTTGTCCTAAAGCCATTTCTCCTTCATCATCAGCTTTAGCAAGGTATTGAACTGTTGCTCCATCTTGTTGAACTTCTGGTCAAGATTTCCTACCATTGCCTCCAATTTGAAGTTATTTTGTTCCATCTCATTATGGAACTTCTATTGCAACTCTTCCTGACACGAAGCTTGGAAAGTGGCCATGGATTCCACTAGCTCTTGAAGTTAATTCTCCTGTTTCTTGAGTTGGTCTTCCAAGGATCAATATTGAGTGCTTTCTGCCATGATTGATATCACTAACAGCCAAGAATCGATTGCTCTGATACCAAATGTCAGGTTTCAGAGATAATTTCCTAGTTAAAGCAAAAATCAGAGAGAATGGGAGAGAAAGAAGAAGAAGAATGAGAAAGTGAGAAGAAAGAATATAACATAATAGAGAGAGAAACATTTTCTTGCATTCAATTCCATAACTGTTTTTTGTTACAAGAGGACTATTTATGCAATTATCCTAACTAGTTGCAACAAGGAAATAACCTTCATCTTAAGTCTAACGACGTAGTATTCATGGTAGTTAATCCTCCTGACTCAAATGCACAACTTCATGCATAAAATGACACCCTCTTTTATTTTGAAGATCCTGACACACAGCTCCTCGTATGGTGTTTTATAGCAATCAAATCCTTAGCCAACAAAAGGTTTCACCACATCAGGCGGGTCTGAGAGAAGAATTGCTTTATCTCAGTTGGCCCTTTATTGAATTTATTATTATATATACCGTAGTAATCAAGCCTGGCCAGCTCGAAAGTTCGATAGATCAAATTGATCAAACAAGTTAGATTAGTAAATAGACTAATATAGAGGAAGAACTCGTTCACTGGCCAATGACTTGTCGGTTCAACTGATGACAAAATTGGAAGTTCAACTACTAACTAGTTCATCCAATAATTCAATAACTATTATATTATTTTTAATAACTCAAAAATAATTGTTTTGTGATATAGTATAACACGCGGTTCAACCGATAAATCTGCAATTGAACTGATGACCTTCCCGGGTGGGTTGATGTCCAGGTAGGTTTAATAACTGTGCTATATAGTACTATTAAATAAAATTGTTCTATGCTATCTAAGGTCTCTCTCTGTGAACAAATCATATGCCCTTAGACAAATTCCAAGCCTTGGCTCTCTAAGAGGTTATCATTATGGATCTTACATGGGTGGATAAATTATATAAAGGGAAAATGGCGGTCGACAAATTTTAGTTTCCTAGAGTTTAGATTTGACTTTGTTAGGCCTTCTCCAACGTTTCCCTATATGAAGTGTAAGCAAAAGTTTGATGTTCAATAATTGTTCGACGTCTCTCTATGTAAAACGTCAGCAAATGTTTGATATTAAATAATTGTGTGGTATTTGTTAGTATTTCCTTTTAAGATTCAAGTTTCAGCTTAATATATTCATCTATTATGTGCCAAACTTTCACTCCACTTCTAGTAAGTGTTACCACCAATTAATATATCCATCTATTATGTGCCAAACTCTTACTCTACTTTTGGTAAGTGTTGCTATCGCTTTTTCAAACAATTGCTCCTCCTAGGATCTTGCACATCTACATCTCTACTATTTTTTTTTTATTTTTTAGTGTAAGTGAGAGGTTCGAATGCGAGATTCTTTGACTTACATTTTTTCTTTTGAACTATCCAATCTATCCCTTTCGCTCCTGCTATTTAATAAACTATTAATTAACAGAAACCAATAATAACTTTCTCTTCTTTCACAACAAGAAAATCACTCTCATTTATAAGCCCAATAAAATTTTAATAATCGCCAACGAATTTTTCTTTTCTTTATAATTTTTTTTAATGTGCAGTTGTGCACATACATAGTGGCAATATGTCTTCTGAATTGATGGGTTTAATGTAAAGACGGTGACACATATGAAGACGCAAGTCCATTTGTTGGATGAACACTGCCCAGGCCCAAATACAATTTCATATGACCCAAAGGAGGGCTTTTAAGAAATTCTAGAGAATTTTGAATACCAGTACACTTTTTTTTTTCTTTTGAAAGTAAAACCAGCATTCTTTCAGGACACCTGAAAGGGGCGAGGATCCAAGTTTATACCAAGGTTATACCAAGGTAAAAGCGAAAGGCCCAGCTTATACCAAGGTCTTCATCACTCCCCGACGCACCAAGAAACACACAGAGAGACTAGGATTTCTTCAACTTCGAAGGGTCGGTAACAGGGATGAAAGCAAAAGAGGTACTTTGCAAATTTGTCCTTAGCCAATCACATAGCCTGAGTTTTCATGTGTCTTAGTGTTAAGTTTGTGCATTTCTTGGGAAATTTTGTAATTATGCCTGAGGATGGGAAATGTAGTGTTTTCTGGGGTTGAAAGATTGGAGCTTTTCTCATTTCTTTTTTATTTTTGGGCTGTTCAGACTTAGATGAATTGCATTCTTTTCATTTCTGCCGCGTTTGGTGGCTTGAAATTGATGGTTTTAAAGAAAATGATGATATGGTTACAAAAGCAAGATGCTGACAGACACCAAGCAAGCCTGATTTTTGTTGTTGATGTTAAAGTTGGCGATTCCCGTCGTGCGTAATCATGACAAAGGATATAACTCTTCACTCCATGAATTAGATGAGGGTTCAAAATGATGCCTTAAGGGGGCTCTTGTTTGGACTCCATTATACTGCTCGCTGTATGCCAGTGATCACCTTGCATTTTGCTTTTAAAATTCATCATGCTCACCCCGTATGTCTTTCCCACGGTTAATAGGAAAGTCTGTATAACTCATCACAAAGTCTGGATATTGATTGTGAAAGTTGATTGACTTATACCAAGTTGATTTTTTTGAGCTTTCTTTCCACTTACCTTCACCAAAACCTAATTCCTCCAACGCCATTCTACTCTCTCTCTCTCTCTCTCTCACACACACACACACACACAAACACAGACACTCTGTGTTTGTCTCTCATACACACTCACAAACTCGCAAAATAAAATTGAAAAGATAAACCTTTCTTTTTTTTATTTTATGTTATTGTTAATTTTTTTTAAAGCCAAATGGTGCCGTTGAGAAAGGGCTCAATGGAAGCTAACTTTGAAGGTTTTCATAATTTCTCTCAAGCTTCACTTAGGCATTCCTTGAGGATAAGCATTGTAATCATGAGGTGAATATGTTGCTTAATGTCATTAATCAGGTCTCATCATAGTAGAATTCAGGTTTTGGAAGTTCACTAACTTTCTAGATTTTCATCTCCCAAAGTCTTGTAATGGTTTTCTGAGTGAGCCTTGATACCCACAACTAACCATTTAAACATATACACTCAAGTTCATTGTAACTTTCTCAATTTAATTTGAGTTTTGTAAAAAATTAACACATGGACCCAAATGAACAAGTGCTGCTAGCACTCCTTGGACAAACTCATATAATAATAGAATTGTTGCTTAGTTTTCTACCTTGTTTACTCTTCTGCCAAAGCTCCCTATTTTCCTCGTCTTCATTGGGTTACCCTTGAAGGGTATAGTTCTTAGGCCCTAGATCCTTCCTTTTATTGTAGGCAAGATCCCCCTGGTCTTATATCACTAGCATGAGAACCCTATAGTTTACAGGTCTTTTCTTCATAGAGTAACCAACCACCCATTCTGTAACTTGAATTCTCCATAAGCCATTGTAAGTAAAAGAGAATCAAATATGTACAACTGTAGATTGTACTCTAAGGATGTGTATCATATACCATGATGGTAAATCTTATCAAAAGTAAGTTTGTTCTCAGGTCTAGAAGTAAAAAAGATCAGTTCCACAAGTCAGAAATATTTATATAGATGACAATACCTTAAACTGCTTAGATTTTAGATAAGAAAACCATTGGACATGTTTGTCCTGTTGCATGGCTGAGCTTAGTGGTGTAGGTTATTGTGCTGAGATTAACATCCAGAGTTGTGCATTCACTATTTTAAGCAACCATAGCACTAGCTAAGACTGTGAACCTGGTTCTTAACTTGGGAGTTATTACCATTACTACTCTAGTAAAGCATGAGCACCCCATTTGATTTAAGAACTTTTTCATTTTTAAGTGTTCTGTTAAAACAAGTTGAACTGAAACTTTTGCCTTGGTACCCAAACCATGACTCAACTTTAAGAAAACCATTGGACATGTTTGTCCTGTTGCATGGCTGAGCTTAGTGGTGTAGGTTATTGTGCTGAGATTAACATCCAGAGTTGTGCATTCACTATTTTAAGCAACCATAGCACTAGCTAAGACTGTGAATCTGGTTCTTAACTTGGGAGTTATTACCATTACTACTCTAGTAAAGCATGAGCACCCCATTTGATTTAAGAACTTTTTCATTTTTAAGTGTTCTGTTAAAACAAGTTGAACTGAAACTTTTGCCTTGGTACCCAAACCATGACTCAACTTTGACTCAATTGAAAATTTTCTAATTGAAAAATCTGAACTTGGTCCTTATATAGGCCATTACAAGTAGGGGACCGATGCATGAAGAATTAATCCAATCTGAACAACTTTAATCGAGTAAATGATAACCTAAATATTGAAATATAGTAGCATAGTTTGGAACATTGAGATATGCTAACAGACTTGGAGGAAACAGTTTGCATATGCTTGAATTTGTTAATAGCCTCACGCTTATGTTACATATCACATTCTATTACTTCGCTTTAACCACTAATGAGTAACCTACCTCCTTCAACCAACTATTGTGTGTTTTTTTCACTATTAATTTGTTATTTTTGAAGAAGGCGGAGGCCACAAAGTCAAGGGAGGGGCCATTGGACCAACAAGAAAAAGGTGATAACAGACTTTGTCTGGAAGTTGATAGCATGAGTGACAGTTTTTATTACTAGTATACATAACTTTTCACTTTGATGGGAGGTGAGAACATAAATGACTAAATACTTAGAAAAGTAAATCTATGCAATGCCCTTGAGTGCGTGGTGGTTTAGGGAATGCATTTTCTTGGTATAAAATGGTACCTATGTGACCAGAATATAGCATGACTTGAGATAACTTTCTCCTATGTCTTCTAACATCTAATATACCCCACAGAATTCCCTCTATGCATTTAATTTGTTTATTTGTTCTAGTGCAACTTGTTTGTTTTCGCCTTTTTGTCATTCATGTTCCTTTTCCATTCCATTTTCTAATTAATGCACATTTTCATGAGAAAGCTGATGCAGAATGTTGAAAGTGAAGAAGTTAATATTTATCCGAAACAACACGTGATTGCCCCTGAAAAGAAAGATGAATTTGGGGGTTTAGGTGGAGAGAAGCAAGGAGAGAATCATGAAGGTGAAGGGAAATCTGATCTGGGACTAGTAGAAAAAGTCACTGCCTTGGAAAAGAAAAATGAATTTGTGGATTTAGTTGGAGAGCAGCAAGAACATAATTGGGGGCCTGAAGTGAAATCTGATCTGGGACAAGTAAAAAAAATCAATGCCTCTGATAAAAAAGTGGAATCTGTGGATTTAGTTGGAGAGCAGCAGGAACAGAATCATGAAAGTGAAGTGAAATCTTATCTGGAACAAGTAGAAACCATCAGTGCCTCTGAGAAAAAAGTGCAATATGTGGGTTTAGTTGCACAGCAGCATGAACAGAACTGTGAAGGTGAAGTGAAATCTGAGTTGGAACAAGCAAGAATTGGCTTTGCAAAGAAAGGTGAACTTGAGGCTTTAGATGATGAGCACCTAAATCAGAATCGTGAAAGAGATGAAGAGGTGTTCTATCTGAGACAAGTAAGTAGCTTGATTGCTGATGACAACAAAGATGAACTTGTGGGTTTGCTCAAAGAGAAGCTAGAAAGGAATGTTTCTGGGATCTCTTCTCTTAAACTGGAGAGTTTGTTGACCATGGTTTGTCAATGCAGAGCAAAGAGTTGTGCTACTGCTCTTGTTGCAGGAGAGGCTGGACTAAAATTAGATCTCCATGCCAAACTGAGTAGTGGAGAATACCCATTGCATGTTGCTGCTCATAATCTGTCATTTGAACTAGTAAACTTGTTTCTCCAACTAGGAGCACAGACAAATGTAGTTGGTAGCAGCGGGAAGCTCCCATTGCACATGGCAGTTGAGGCAATAAGGTTCTTTTTTTGACTTTCAATCACTACCCGATAGTCCACAAGTTGGTTCTATATGGATCTCGTCCTTTACGGGCCCATTATGCTTTTATTGCCCATCAATTTATGGCATTAAGTAACACTAACTACATGATATTCTCAATCGCTAGTTTGTTAGGTTCAATAAATTTATGCAGTTCTCTGTTGCTAGGTTTCATGGATATATGCTTTACTTTCTTTTCCAGTTTCATTTTTTACAACAGTTGGAATTTTAGATGATATTTTTTCGTTATTTTTCCTTATTGAAAAGCTCAAGCTATTAAGTTTGATTGAGTAAGTTAACTGTGCATTGATATATATATTTTGTGGTACAAGATGTAGCTTTTAATTACTTTATAATAGAAAAAAGGAAATATATATAGAACTTAGAGGGGGTGGATGGGTTTGTGAACTTCAATGAGCACCATCATCACAGTTGGACTAGTTAGTGGAATGTGCAGTTTCAAAAGTCTCCATTTGGGCCTGTGCATTGTGTTTGACCAACTATTTCATTGCTTTAGGTGAAGTGCAAAAACTTTGGGAGTTCTTGAGTATAAAAATAATTATATCTAACTTTTGTAGAGAGTGGAATCCATGCATTTGAGAAAATGTTTTTATGTAATCCCTGACAGATATAGCTATTTGATGTCAATTAGGCATTTATTTCATGCATCTATGTTGGCTGGCGTTTTGTTCTATAGATGTATGTATTTTATATGCACACTTGTTCTTCCAATAAAAGTATATCTGCCTTCTTACGGCTGCTGTGTTTAAGATGTTCATAATCTATTTCATACATCTGTTGCTGCTATTGTCCATTTGATGTTAGGGTTGTGGCTCTTGCGCGAGTCGGTGCCTTCTTTTAATTCTTTGGACCAATTTATTACCTTTGAATTTTTCTAATGTTTTATTATGCTTTTTTCCTTCTCATTCCAGCCGTCATGACTTTCTTGCCGATTGGATCCCCAAAAAGTCCATCCATAAATTAATTTATTTGCTTTGTTTACCAGATCTGGTAGGTTTAACCACACTCATCTTTTAAGTCTTATAATTGATTCTGTGAAAGGGAAGAGCGAAAATTTCCTATTGAAGTTTGTCTTTTATTTTGTTTTTGGCAGCACAAACCGCTGGAGGTCGTGAAGTTGCTTGCACAGAGTTCTGGAGAGGTTCAATCAGTAGCCAAGCACTGTGTTGAAGATGGGAATCTTGTTCAGATTGCTACATTGCTGATGGGGGCCAGGGAAAAGCTTCTGGAACCCGTTCCAGGCTATGAAACTGAAGGTCCCATCCTCGGGCTGTACATTGCAAAGAAGTTGAGATCATTAACTTATGAGGAGTTCAGACTGATTGCATATGGTAAACGTGAAGAGATTAGGCCTTTCAGGAGCAAGAAGATGCACTTCTGTCTGCAGTATCATTGCTTCAAGTTTTTGAGTCGGCTGGTGGTGCCATTCAGGACTACTGTCATAGCAATACTAGGGTATGTTTGTTAAGGTTAATGGTGCTAATAACCTATTTTTGTGTTTTCATAGGATTATCATCATTTCTATTGTGATGGGGTTAATTATTATTGTGCTTCTAGTATTTTCTATTTCCTGTTCTTTTGTGTCCCTTGAGTGAACAGTTGTGTTGTCTTCTCAAAGGTGGCTATTGTTGACTTGCTGCCATTCAATTTGTAATGAGCCTAGTTTTTTTGCTTGTGTTTGTAGTAAGGCTAGGGTATCTTTTGCAGAGTTCACTAAATAATAAAGTGGCAAAGGATATTCATTGCTTGTTGTGGAAATTTGGATTTCTTGGGTCTGGGGAGCACATAAACAGGTAAGCCTGTTCTTAGTTTTGTTTCATAGTCTGTGTCATTTCATCACTCACAATGGAATTGTTTAGCGTTTCACTAATTTCAGTTATTGCTTCTCTTTTGCTTTTCATCTTTCCCCTTTGCTAAATTTTTATGCTTTGGAATGTGATGATACCCCGCTGTTGGGTGAGCAAGTTGTCTTTCAAATTTGGGTAAGTTGGAGAAAGGTAATTTGTCCTTATATGATTAAATATGTTTTATGTTGTGTAGTTTTCCTGAAATAAAGAAAGACTAAAAGAGAGAAAATGAAACCAGATACAAATACTAATAAAGCAAATCAGCAACAAGGATGTCTCTGATATTTCTTTGTTGTTTTGCAGCAAAGCTCATTCAATCTGTTAATCTGACGAGGAGCTTACCTGAGGTAAGATCTCTAAAAATTGGACTAAATCTTGCATCTTTTTTTTTTTGAGATGTCCTGTAGTGTGCGCCCATATTTTTAATATAGTCAAACTGGTTTTCTTAAACTTTTTTAAGAATACTGAGTAAAAACTGAAATATTTTCAATTTATTGTTGAATGCTTTAGTTTTATTAGTCCAACATTTAGATTGTCATTGTTGCATCATGAAAAGCAATTCTCATGGTTGAATATACTCAGCTCTCACTTTGAGTAGAGGAAGGAATCCTCTCCCCACGTGGAGTTTCTTGTTTTGGCAGTATTAGGTCCCTGGTGGGTGAGACATTCCGCTAGTCCACGAGCCCTTCTGCAATAGACTGGTTAACTTTGTATACTTGATGTGACCAATGCGATCATTGATACTGTATACTATTTTTGCCTGTAAAATTCTGTAGCTTGTACGGGGAAGTAGGAAGGCTGGATCTCAGCTTACTCCACGGGTTTATAGTCCCCTGAACCAGTCATTCCATTCTTGTACTTGGGCAAATACTGCCAAAGGTGTCAAGCTTGTTTCACCAGTCCGAACTCAAGCGGATGGAATCATCAATCAGGCAATGAAACCACTGATGCGGAAGTTTACAACAGCAGCACAAATGTCTGTCATGGGTTTGAGCATGAGGAGGAGGATTCGATACTGAGAATGTTCCTGCGGTTAGGTTAGGTGGGTTAGGACTTTGGATTGTTAGTTGTTACCCCCATATTGAGCTGGTAGAATTGATGTATATCTAGATATTGCCTCCTCCTCTACTATGTAATGCATGTCGTTGTTTTGCCAAAAAGTCTGCCCTAAGAGACTTTTGGCAAATATTTGTGTGTTGCAACAATCCAGCGTGGATGGAAAGCTGCGAGGCTTCTAATGATTCACTGTTCCAACTAAAATGTCTTTGACATGTGTAGCCTAAGACCTTAACGTGCTCTGGGATTTTCTGTTTGTATATTTCTTCAATTTGAAGGTGTTGGTGCAACTAGCCCTGGCATTGGCTGGCTAGTGTGCTACTTATTTCTGTGCACGCGAAGATTTTGGGGAAAATACTACTGAAATAAGAATTCCCTGATTTACCCTGTTGAAATCTTTCAGCAAAGTTTTCGTCGTAGTTGGGAAATTGCTACGAGGATGATAGACAATCACAGTTGCATCGGCATCAGTAAACCATGCAAGATCCCGTCAAATTCCCCAACATCCGTTGAAAAACTTAAAAACCCATTTTGTGATCCCCGTCAAATGGCGTAACATTTATTTGGATGGCCACGTTTCTGAGTATACGAGGTAAAAATTCCAAACACACAATTTCAAACCGTTTTTGGGTCTCATAGGTGCATCATACGTTTACTACAGTTAGATGTGTTGAAATCACTTCGGTTGGACTGCCATTTTTTTGTATAATTTTTTTTTAGAAAAATATACTCTAGTGAGTCGATCGATATAAAGTACAAAGAGATTTGAAAAATGTGATCACAAAAAACATAAAAAAATTTTGATAGCAATTTGCTGTATATGAAATAATAAAAAGGTGTTTGAAAGATATGATGATCATGAAATATATAAAATTAACTTCAATCCAAACATAATACTAACAATAGTGAGATTTTTTGCACAAGCAACCATAATTGCATGCCACATACACACTATTTGAGTTTCAAACTTGGCTTCATGTTATTTGCACTAGTGAAAGAAAATTATACATTAACAGTGTATGAAAAACAACTCTTTCTATTTTAGAAAGGAAACAAACAAGGATCTCAATTACAAGTGTAAAAAAAAATGAGTTTATTGCCAAAATAAGGCTCCGTTTGGAACCTGAGTTTTTGAAAGTTTGGTTAAAACTTTACTGTAGTACACTGTAGAAGTTTTTGGAAAAATTTTTTAAGATGAAAAACTTTTTTTTCCTTTTTTTTTCTTTCTTTTTCTTTTTCTTTCTTTCCTTTTTCTTTTCTTTCCTCTCTTCTTCTTCTTTTTCTTCCTTCCCCCTCTCTCTTCCCTCCCCCGTCACCTCTGCCTCTGCCATTGAAGAACTGGCAGATGGTCCAATTTTTTTTTTCTTTCTTTCCTTTTTCTTTTCTTTCCTCTCTTCTTCTTCCTTCCCTCTCCCCTTTCTCTCCCCCGCCACCTCTGTCTCCAGCGTTGAAGAACCAGCAGCCATGGTCCCAAAATTTTTTCCTTTTTCTCTTCCCCTCTTCTCCCTCTCCCTCTCCCTCTCCCTCTCCCTTTCCCTCTCTGCTCCCCTCTCCCTCTCTACTCCCCTTCACCCTCCCTCTCTCCCTCCCGAAGCCAGAGAACCAATAGCCATGGTTTTTTCTTTTATTTATTTATTTTTTGCTTTTTCTCTCCCCCTCTTCTCCATCTCCATCTCCCCCTCTCCTCCCCTTTCCTACTCCCCTCCCATTCCCACTCCCCCTTTGCCCAATGTGGTCGCGTGACCAGATCGCAGATGCGGTCTAGTACAGCGGCTGGCTGCGATCTGATCGCACGACCAGATCGCGCAGGGTTTGTTTGGATAGTGAGTTATTTGAGATTTTTTTACTGTAACACTTTTTGTGATGTGATGTATGTGAGATAAAAAGGTAATTGAGAAGATAAAAAGTTGTATTGGCAATTGTAATTATGACATAAACAAATATATTTGGGAAAATAACCCACTATCCAAACAAATCCGCAACTAGGGGAAGGGGGAGGGTGGCCGGGGAGGGGGAGAGAGGGAGAGAGAGAGGAAAAAAAGAAAAAAGAAAAGAGAGGGGTTGCAGATCGGTCAAAGGGAGAGGGGGAGAGGGAGAGGGAGAAAGGAAAAAATAAAGGAAGGCCGGCGCCAGAAGCAGCGGTGGAGGTGGTGGCTGGCGATGAAGGTGTGGTGGATAGGGGTGGTGGAGAAAGAAAAAGAAAAGAGAAAGTTTTTCGTGTATTAGATATTTTGAAGTGTGAAGGTTAAAAAATTTGATAAGTTTTTTTGGGTTCCTGTAACTAAAGTTGTTAAAAAGCTAGTAGCTAACAAACTTCTCAAAAAACTTGGGTTCCAAACAGGGCCTAAGTCTCCTTCCAAAACATGTACCCAAAGTAACTTAATTTTATATTTTATTACATTTATAATCTTTTTTTGCTACATAGGCTGCATATGTGCCAGAATGGAAATAAGGGCATGCTCCATTTATCTTTCCTATTTAATAAATTTCTAGATTTTCTCTCCAAAGCTTTGCACAATTTTGTCTTTTCATTATCTTTCCATTGTCAAATGTAATTCTAAGAATCCAATATTTATATTAACAGTATCTAAAACTTTAATATCATCCTTGAAATTGTTTCAGTGGATTAAAAATATTCTTCTCGAACTAATAATCTTAAGGTAAATGAAGATTATTCTCTTATTTTTTCTATTGTGCAGTTTTTGGGACATTCTTATGGCCTTCAAAAAATTATGAATATTAATTGTTTAACAAATGATTTACTAGTTTTAGTGTTTGGGTGTAGCGTGTTGTAAGAATCACAGTTTACGACTTTACAATACATACTGTGTTGTCTATGTTAAGAATTATATCTCCTGCATTAAAAAACTAATTATTAGATGATGTTGCCTTCTACTAGTTGAGCTAATAAACTTGGACAAAGAATAATCTTTACTTGGGATTGGAATTACACTATTGCTTATCAGCAATACATTGAACAAAAATACTGAGCTGCCTTTATCATAAAAATCTTGGACCTCAAAATTATATTTTTGCAAAAATCAAGGTTAGGATGAGTAATATCTGTGTTCTGTTCCTTTTTGGTCTGATAACATGTTTATGTCTCTATCTTTAATACAGATTTGCACTGATCTTAATGCAAGCAATGCAAGCTTAGGCAGCATGACTTTGACACTATTCTTTCTTAAGCTCAAAATCAAACATTGTGTAATTTTCAATTTGTCCTTAACAGGTAGGACATGCACAAAAATGCTGTCTTATGATATAATTAAAGAAAAATTTGCCCATGCTGATTTGCCTGTGTGGATAACTGCACTTGTAATCTGTCAGGGAATGGGATCTGGTTTTGTCACGCTGGTGCAGTAAATTTATAGATCTATATTGGCTATACTGTTTCACCTTGAAGTCTTCTACTTTTAATGTTGTTTGGGGTTATTGAAGTGTATCCTACTATTATCCAGCAAAACATGAAATGTTTCTTTATTTCTGCTTTGTGATAATGTTTCCTTCTGCTTCTGCGATAACCAGGCATTACATGGTCAATCGTGCAAGCAACAAGCATCATATGGTATTCCTGTTGGCCGACCATCGTATCACACACCTGGCTTTTCAGGGAGCAAACCAGGAATTTGGATCTGCTGCTCAACGGAGAATAACATCTAATATGGTTCCAAATGCTCGCATCACCAACCATTGTGCTTTTTTGGTGACAACGTTGAGAAGGGGGATGCGATACATTAAGATGGTCTGATATGGTGCTTTGAAAGTAGTGCCTTGGTGGGTTGTTTCTAACACTTGATTGATTGTCAGTCTTAGTGAAAAAGTTTAGAAACGCAATAGCGAACTAAAATAGAATGAAAAAATATCTTCAAACTCTAGCTATCCTAAGAAAGCTGAGTAGCATAAGATGAGATGGTCTTCCTAATACAAGACATCGACATCACAATGTTATGTAAATCTCCCTTCCCCTCTGCTTCTCAAATCCTACCTGTCTCATTCTAGGCGGAAAAAAAAAAGTTGTGTAAATACTCTCACAAATGTTAGAAAGGACGTTCAAATTTGGGAGTTATAACAATTATATTGTATCGATGTGAAATAAAAAAGTAATTGAAAAGTATATAATCAAACCTTAAAGTTTTCTAAAACCATCCTTAAATAATAATGTTGTTTCAAATAAATTACTTTTTAAAGACATTATTACTTTTCAAATAAATTACTTTCACTCCTGAACTAACTCTAATCTTGAAATAATACCCGATTGCAGTTTATGGAATGAATTGCGATGAAACTATATTCTTAACTAATAATCTCAAAGTCAATATGCGTAAACATTTGTGCTCGAAAATTATAAAATTGCATCGAAATTTGAAATATTGCTTGATCAAGAAATTACAGGGAAAGGGTACTTGGTAAATCAAACTCAAAATTTTGATGTTTATAAGTGAAGAGAATTCACAAATTTGTGATTGTATTATTATATAATACAACATCAAAGTAGTCGAGGGGGTTTAATCTAGTAACTAAAGTTGAGACCCAGTAATTAGAGATCCTACATTCTAATTTCCTGCCTTCTTTTCGCTTTTTAAATCCCATCCCTCCCTTGTTAGAGGGAGAGAAAAAAAAAAAGCAACATCAAAAGTAACCAGGGGACATTGAAAAAAGGCTACCAAGTTATTTATTGAAGTTTATTGCACAATGATTTTGAAACTCCTTCCGTGGACATTAGCTTGAAGTTGGAGTATCATGGACATCTTCCAGTTATCGTAAGTCTGCTCAAATCATAATTATATAGATTGACATGTGATTACACACTTCAATTGTTTATGATTTCAATTAAGTAGGATTGTATCTCCAGTAAAAAAAAAAGTGAAAATTTTTCTTTTCCTCTTTTATATCCCAATGAAGCATTTTAAATTAATTCATTCTGCCTTGTATAATATTCTGCCTTTTTTTTTTTCGGTGCATTGGAGGCCTGCAGGCCATTTACAAAATGTGACTAAACGTGGGATGCAATCCCCCACGTCATCATTTAAACATTTCTCAACGAGGTGGCCTATCCTTTGGTGTTAGTTCTTGCTGGTGGCTCCACTTTGCAAGGCTATCCGCACAACCATTTCCTTCTATCAAAGTGTGGGTCAACCACTGAGCACCAAGAAAGGGCTAAAGTTCATCTTTGGGTTGTAGGTTAAGGATTTTAACCCTGTCTACTAGCCCGTTATACGCAACCTCTTTAGCTTTTCCTTCCCCTTAAATTAGGATAAATTTTTTATACTTACTAGCCTCTTATACACAACCTCTTTAGACTCCGCTCCCCCCTAGATTAAGATAGATT